TGCAATTTTTGTCTTTGGCTCTGTTGACATGGTGTATTACATTAGTTGATTTGCATGTATTGAACCATCCCTGCATTCCTGGAGTGAATCCCACTTGGTCATGGTTGCATTCTGTTTGCTAGTATTTTATTGAGAACTTTTGCATCCATATTCCTTAGGGAGATTGGCCTGTAATTCTCTTTTTTGGTTAGGTCTTTCTCTGGTTTTGGTATCAGAATAATACTTGCCTCCAGGAATGAGTTGGGGAGAATTCCTTCCTTTCAGTTTCATTAAAGCATTTGAGAAGAACTGGTGTTATATCTTCTCTAAATTTCTTGTAGAATTCAGCTGTGAATCCATCAGGACCTCGGCTTTTCTTTATTGGCAAGTTTTTTTATTACATTTTCAATTTCACTTGCTCATATAATTAGTCAGGATTTTTATATCTTCTTTATTCAGCTTTGGTAATTCATATGTGTCTAGAAATGTGTACATTTCCTCTGTGTTTTCCATCCTATGAGAGTAAAGATTTTCAAAGTAGGTATTGATGATCTTCTGGATTTCTACAGGATCTGTAGTGATTTCATCCCTTTCATTCCTTACTGCATGTATTTTAATTTTTTCTTTCCTTTTTGAATAAGGTTGGCCAGGGGTTTATCAATTTTATTTATTTTTTCTAAGAACCAACTGTTTGATTCAGTAAGTGTTTGTATTTTTTTGTCTCCATTGCATTGATTTCTGCCCTGAGCTTTATAATTTCCTACCTTCTTTGGGCTTGGGCTTGACTTGCTGTTCTTTTTCCAGAAGCTTGAGGTACAGTATAAGATTGTTTATTTGTGCTCATTCTGTTTTCCTAAGGTGGGAATTCACTGTTATAAATTTCCCTCTGAGGACTGCTTTCATTGCATCCCACAGATTCCTGCAAATTGTATCTACTTTTTCATTTCACTGTACATAGTGTCTAATTTCTTCTTTGATTTCATCTGTGATCCATAGATTGTTCAGAAGGATGTTGTTTAATTTCCATGTGTTTATGGAGCTCTTGCAATTTCCTTTGTCATTAATTTCCAATTTCATTGTGCTATGGTCTGATAGTATGTATGAGATAATTTTAACTCCTTTGCATTTCCTTAAGCATGTTCTGTGTACTAGCATATGGTCTATTTTAGAGAATGTCCCATGTGCAGCTGAGAAGAATGTGTATTCTGGTGCTGTTGGGTGGAACACTCTGTAAAGGTCTACTAAGTCCATTTGTTCACAGGTTTGGCTTAATTCTGTTATTTCTTTGCCAATTTTTTGTCTAGTTGATCTATCTCTTTGTGACAATGGGGTATTACAGTCCCCTGTTATGACTGTGTTGCTACTTATTTCATTTTTCATGTCTGTTAAAATTTGTCTTATATAGTTGGGTGCTCCTGTGTTTGGTGCATAGATATTTATGGTTGTTTCCTCTTACTCTTGAAGTTTTCTCCTCAGAAGTATGTAGTGACTTTTTAAAATCTCTTTTAATTGTTCTTAGTTTGAAGTTCATGTTGTCTGCAAGCAGAATAGCTACACCCACTTTTTTCTGGATTCCTGTTGCATGAAATATTGTTTTCCATCCTTTGATTTTTTTTCAATCTATGAATTTCCTTTTGAGTTAAATGTGTTTCTTGTACACAGCATATTGTTGGATTTTATTTCTTGATCTACTCTGCCAGTCTACTTCTTTTGGTTGGTGAATTTAGATTGTTAACATTGATGGTTATAACTGATACATATTGGCTTATCTTTGTCCAGTTATTTTCTTGCTGTTGGTTCCTGTTTTTTCCCTCTGTTTAATTGCTTGCTCTGCTTGATGGTTCCTTTTCATTGTTGTTCTTGAAGTTGTAGTCTTTTTTTAATCTCTTTCTAGAATATCTTTTAATACTCTTTGTAGCTTTGGTTTGGTGCTCATGAAGTTCTTCAGTTGTTTTTTTTTTTTTTTTTTTTTTTTTTTTTTTTTGGTTTTTCTCCGGTACCAGGAACCGAACTCACGACCTTGCGCTTGCCAGGCAGGCGCTTTTTGCCGCTGAGCTAAATCCCCAGCCCCTTCAGTTGTTCTTTATGTGGAAATATTTTATTTCTCCATTAATTTTGAAGGATAGTTTTGCAGGGTACATCAATCTGAGTTGGAAGTTTTTTCTTTCAGGACCTGAAATATTTCACTCCAAGTTCTTCTTGACTTGATGATTTGTGTTGAGAAATCTGCCGTGATTCTGATGGGCTTTCCTTTATAGGTGATCTGTTTCTTTTCTCTAACAGCCTTTAATATTCTGTTCTTTTGTTGAATTTCTGGGATCTTGATCACTAAATATCTGGGTGTACATTTATTTTGGGTATGGCTAGTTGGAGTTTTATATGCTTCACTTACCTGGATGTCCAATTCTTTTGCCATGCTTGGAAAATTTTCTGGTATTACTTCTGCAAATAATCTTTTTATGTGATTTGTGCTGATACCTGCTGTTTCATTGATACCTATTAATCTTACATTGTTTCTCTTTGCTTCATCTTGCAGCTGTTGAATTATTATTTTTTAGTTTCTTGTTATTTTTAAAAGATCTTTCCTTTCATGGTCATTAGTGGCAATGCTATCTTTAAGGTCTGAAAGTCTATCTTCAGCTTCATTCAAGCAGTTTTGCCAGCTTTCGATGGAAGTGTTAATTTCCTGGATATCTGTTTGAATCTGTTTCATGAATTCTAGTTCTTTCCTATATTGTTCATTCAAAGTTTCCATTAATTTTCTATGCTCCTCTGTTTTCTTTTCTATGTCTCTTTTAGATGTGCTAAACAATTCTTTCATTATTGTCATTTCTTTTTTAACTGAGAGATTATTTTGGATCTAATGTCTTCTATGGCCTGATGGAGTTGTTTCTTTACTTCAGCTGCTATAATTTCAGAAATTTCAGGTATATGACTTTCAAGCTGTTCTGTGGTGGTACCTCCTGGACTTGTTCTGAGTTGGGTGGATGTCTGTGATTGCATTGTGCTCCTTCATTTTGTCATTTTCAGAGATCCAGAGATTCCCTGGAGCTCAGCCTCACTCCCAGGATGATGTTGGAGTGGCGGGGCAAGGACCCAAAGGTTCCCAGTGCTCATTGTGCCTCCCTTGATGGTGTGTTGGTGGGTTGCAATCCCCAATGCTCCCCCAGCTGTCTTAGGCTCAGGCTTGCTCCCACTCAGGGGTTTCCAAAGCTGTCTGGGTTTCAGCCCTGTTTCTACAAGGGTGTAGTCGTGGGTGAGTCATGGTCATGGGGGCTCCAGATACCTCCTATGACCCAGCCCAGTTCCCATGCCAGTGGGAGAGGGGTGAGCACACAGTCACTAAGGCCAGTGAAGCTGTCTGAGGTTCAACTTAGCTCCCTGCAGGGTGCAGGCTGGGGGCAGGGAGTGGTACCCAAGGCCCCTGAGGTTGTCTGGGGCTCCAATTGGTTCCCAAAATGGTGGGGCAGGTGTTCTTGAAGCTGTCTGAGGTTGAGCTCAGCTCTAACAGGGGGGAGGAGTGGGGGGTGACACCCCAGACCCCTGAAGCTGTCTGGGGCTCTGCCTGTCTCCCACAGTGGTGGGGAAGGGGTGGGGCAGCTCACTGGTGTTGGGAAGTTGTCTGAGGTTCAGCTCCTGTTGTAAAGGTATTTTTAATTGGGATTGTGTTAAATCTATTTACCAGTTTTAGATATATAGTCCTTTTGACCATATTAGCTCTGTCAATCAAAGAGCAGGAAATATCTTTCCATTTTCTCATGTCATTTTGAATCTCTTTTTTCAGAGTACTATAGTTTTCTTTGTAGAGGTCTTTTACTTCTTTGGTTAGGTTAATTCCTAGGTATTTAATTTGTCTTGATGATATTATGAATGGTATCATTTTCCTAATTTCTTTCTCAGTGAGTTCATTATTGCTGTACAGGAACACCACTGGTTTTGTGTGTTGATTTTGTTTGCTGCTTTATTGCTGAATTTGATTATTAAATCTAGGAGTCTTTTGGTAGAGTCTTTTGAGTGTTATACATAAAAGATCATGTCATTCACAAATAATGGTAATTTGACTTCTCTCTTTTTTATATGTATTTCTTTGTCTTTCCTGATTGCAATGGCTAATGTTTCAGGTAGTATGTTAATCAGAAGTGATGGTAGGAGGCATCCTTGTCCCTGATTTTAGAGGGAAAGCTTTCAGTCTCCCCCCATTTAACATGATTTTGGCCTTTGGTTTTTCATAAAAGGCTTTTTATCAGATTCAGGTAAGGTTTTTCTATACCTGTTTTCTTCAGGTATTTATCATGAATTGGTGTTGGATTTTATCAAAAGCTTTTTCTGCAGCTGTTGGCATGATCATGTATTTTTTGTCATTGCTTCTGTTAATGTGGTGAATTACATTTATTATTTTACATATGTTGAACCATCCTTGCATCTGTGGGATGAAATCTACTTGGTCATGATATGTGTTCCTTTTGATAATTTATTGCATTCTATTTTCCAATATTTTACTGATGATTTTGATATCTATGTTCATTAAGGAGATTGGCCTAGTTTTCTTTTTTTGTTGGGTCTTTTTCTGGTTTTGGACTCAGAGTGATGCTGGGTTTTAGAAATAAGTTTTTAAGCACTCCTTCCCCTTCAGTTTCATTGATGAGTTTGAGGAGTGCTGGTGTAATAATGTCCTTAAAGTTCTTGTAGAATATAGCAGTGAATCTACCACATCCTATTGGATTATTTTTTTAGGATATAGTTTTTTTTTTTTTTTTTTTTTTTTGCTATTGTTGCAATTTCATTGCATGCTATTGAATTATTTAGAATTTTTATATCTTCTTTGTTTACTTTTGGTAATTCATATGTATTTACAAATCTGTCCATTTCTTCAAGAGTCTCCAACTTGTTGAAATACAATTTTTAAATAGCAGTTAATGTCTTTTGAATATTGACAGTCTATTATGATTTTTTCGTTTTCATTTCTAATTGCATTAATGTGAGTCTTCTCTCTCTTCCTTTTAGTTTGTTCGGCTTAGTGTTTATCTCTTTTGGCTCTTCTCTAGAGGGATTCTATTGTGGAAGAGCTTTACCAGAGCAATCTTCATGTCTTGGTTTCTCAGACTGTAGATGAAAGGATTTAACATTGGGGTCACGGCCATGTACATCACAGTTATCACTGCATCCTTTAGGCTGTAACTGGTCAGAGGTCGGAAATACATGCCCATAACTGTCCCATAATACAAAGAGACAACTGTAAGGTGAGAGCCACAGGTGGAGAAGGCTTTGTAAATGCCCTTAGTGGATGGAACCCGTAAGACTGTGAAAACGACCCGAACATAGGAGATAATGATGCATAGTAATGGCACAGAGAAAACACCAACTCCTAGGTACATCATCTTCACATTAAGGTGGATGTCAGAACAGGACAGCTGGAGCAAGGGGGTAATGTCACAGTAGAAGTTGGCCACTTCTTTGTTGCCACAGAAGGACAGACTAGCTGTGAGTAGAGTGTGGGGAAGGGCATTGGCATTTCCAACCACCCAAGACCCAACAACCAGCAGGACACAGAACCATGGGCTCATAATTGTTGTATAATGAAGTGGACGGCTGATGGCCACAGCTCGATCATAGGCCATTGCAGCCAAGAGGTAGCTATCTGTGTTACCCAAGGCTATCATGAAAAACATCTGTGTGAAGCATCCCTCAAAGGATATGGTTTTACTACCTAGAAGATGGTTAACCAATGTCTTAGGGATTGCTACAGATGAGAAAAAGATGTCAACAAGGGAGAGATTGGCAAGGAAAAAATACATGGGATTGTGTAGGTGAGTGTTATAATGAATGGCCATGATGATAAGCACATTTCCAATCAGTGTGATAGGATAAATGAACAAGAAGAGGGTGAAGAAGAAATCTTCCTGTTCCTGCTGACCAGTAACTCCAAGGAGGATGAAATTCATGGTAGAAGACTGGTTTTCTTCTCTCATAGCTTCTTCAGCATGAAGGTCAAGGGAATTGAGCATCATTAATACAGTTTCTGTGTGTAATGACCTCCCACATTCACTTTTGACTCAAATGATCAGCTTTCTGTACATCTGAACTTATGAAATCTAGAGATAATTAATACATTGGGTCAAAATCTCTATTGGTAGTTGGGTATGGTGGTGCACGCCTGTAATCCCAGCACTCGGGAAGCTGAGGCAGGAGGACTGTTGTGAGTTCAAGGCCAGTCTGGGCTACAAAATAAGTTCAAAACCAGCCTAAACTGCATAGTGAGATCCTGTCTCAAAAAGACAAAAAAATCTCTATTGGTGAATGAGATTGTTATTCACCCCTGGACACTTATGTGTAATGTAATGTGTAACGTAATGTGATGTGATGTAATGTAGTGTAATGTAATCTGTGAACCAGAGGAGCTCATCCTCCCAAACAGCACTGTCACACTACACCTAGGATTTAATCATTTCAAATTCCATATTCCACAGTCTAGATAGACTCTTTGTGAGCTTTTATAGGAGAAATAACAACTATGTGATGTAAATATTTACTCAACATATAAGACGTAGTGTCTACTCTTAAGGACTGTACAGTTTAATGGAGAAACTAGAATCACACACTAATTTCATTACAGATAATAAGGAAAAGGCTTCATTTTGGAGTCTTTGAGAAAAACACTTTGGTAAGAAGGGTCTGTTAGTAGAATTAAGAATTTTTGTATTGAACACACACAGGGATGCCAGAACCAGGAGATAACAGGTGTCTACACTGGCTTTTGAAAATTGTAAATCACAATGATAGCTGTATTTAGGTATCAAAATTATCCCAGTGAGTTTTCTCTTTTCAAGACAGACCTTCATCACTGTTTTTAATAGCATTTGTCTTTTTCTTAAGCTCTCAGATATACATAATTGTACTGATTTTTCTCTTCAGTTTTCTGTTCTTGCTATTAGATGTTTCTTTTCATGACTCATTGTATTGGTCAGCTTTCTTATTGCTAGGGCAAAATATCTGACTTACATAACTCAAAGAAGGAAATGGTTTATTTGTGGTTCATGGTTTGAGCAGTGTCAGTCCATGGGCAGCTGGCTTCCCAGTAGAAAATGGGTGGAAAGATATGGTGGAGGAAAGGTGCTCAACTCATGACATCTGGGAAGTAGAGAACAGGGAAAGACCCAATCTCACTCCATGACCCACCCAGACATACCTAGAAGTTTGCTTTCTCAATATCCTAGGTGTCTATCCAGCTAATCACTTGATAATGAAGATTCACTTGCACATTAATGCAACTCCAGAGTGACTAAAACTATTGCTAAGTAAAATTTCAGTCCATTTCTGTGGGCTTCTGCCTGCCCCCCAAATATCCATGTTTGTTCATCCTGTCAACATGTCCTGCCAAACCCCTCACATGTACATAAAGCCTAAGAAGACTGCAAGATTTTGAGGACAGAAAGACCATGAATTGTTTATTTTTAACTTCTCCAGTTAGGTTATTGTAGAATATTATTCATCACATACACCCAAGGAGTTTGGGTTAATGATTCCTCAGTTAAATCCTGTTTTATATCTTGGATTCCTCATATGAGGGATTCTTGCAAGGACAATCTCCTAGTTTATCTCTCTTCTGACTGGCTGATTTTATTACTTCTACATTTAAAATAATTATTATATAATTCAACCTTTATACTTTGTGTAGTAGTGCATTAGCTTAGACCATCATACTTTTCTACCTGAAACACTATAAGGTACCATTAACTCCTTCACCACAGGTTCCCTCCTCTTTGATCCATCTTGCATAATAGGTATACTAATTATGTCAAAGAATATTAGCTGCTTGGAAAAATCCATGCTGTTCTTTCCTTCATGGTCACGCACTTAGACTGTATGTCCATGTCTCCCTTGTGGTGAGGTAGGATCATGTGACTGAGAGCTATACAATTCACCTATGTGTTACAATTCTGGGCTACCTTCACACACCCTCCCTTGTGCCTAGTATATAAAATGTCAGTGAAACTGAACAGGATTATGGGAGTCATATGGTAGGATGAGACTGTATCCCTACTTCTTCACATCCAGAAGAGGCATTTATAACAAAATGCAGCCACTTGGACATAAGAGAGAGTGATCTTTTACTCTAAGTCATTTTACATTTTGGGATCCATTTGTTACATTAACCCAGGATATCACAATTAATTCCCTAGTTTTTCTAAACAAGATTTATACAAAAATGTATTCAATCTTTAATTAATTCTATCTCCATTTCTCAGTGTTTTTTTACACTAATATGTGAATGATAGGTAAGGGACAGTATGTAGGTCTACTTATCTTTGTCATATTCATTTATGGTGTACTTTTTCATCTCTATACCTGAAGAACTTTGAATTTGTCTCTTAAGATACCCTTCCTCTTGTTCATAGAGAATCAAATACCTCAGGTTTCAAAGGGCTCAGTAAACCTGGAGGGCTCAGAGGTCATGCTTAGCGCATATGATGTGGGAATGTAAGATTTCAAAGATGGGGTTCTTAGCAACATCAGACTAAGCTGATGTTGATAGTTCCACTGTTATTAGAATCTCAGACATCACAGATTAAACATGCAAGTAAAAAGACACACACCAAAACATGTAACAAAACTCAAAAGAAAGATATGGCCATACATTGGTTTGAGAAACAAAAAACCCAGGGCAAGAATTGTAAGTCACAGCCAATACTGTGGTGGCACTTCACATTTAAAATCGGGAATAAGGCAGGCCCTAAGGGCTGGTGCAGGGCCCTTTGGCAAAAGGGATGTGGCTACAGATATTCATGAAGCATGCAGAGCCATAGTCTCTGTATAAAACAGTTTAAATATTGCACTATTTTTGAGAAGGGACCTGAAAAATCTTTTTCATGTAAGAATTGGAAGGAAAAAAACAAAAGTGTAGAAGTCACAGAAAATATGATTATCTACAAATACAATCAACGAGAATTTCCAGATAAACTGAGATTTTTTAGCACATTTGTTTTTAGAAACTAATATGTAAAAAATTAACAGTGTTATTATAATTAAGTAAAATTAAATTAGAAAATATAATGTCCAAAAAGCTGTCTCATGCAAAATAACAAAGTTTGAGGAAGTTAGAGAAAATTCTAACAAAAGTGTGCAAAGCTGGTTTCAGAAAATAAGAAAGTTTAATAAAGTAGAAGAAAAGAAAATGGGGTTATCACCAATAATATTATTAAAGAGCCTCAAGGCAGAAATTAATTCTCTTCCAGTTAATTTCTAAATTCAAGGAAAACCCAATCCAAATACCAGAAATTTCTCTTGAACATAGAATTTAGCAAACATCCTAACTAAGACGAAATGAGGAAGGAAAATATGGAGGAAGGAATTGTTCCATCAAGTATAAAAATAGTTTCCTTTGGTAATTCAAAGACTGTATTGGTACTGACATAGACCCCTGTAACAGACTGGAGAGCCCCCAGAGAGAGACAGATTAAGCATTAGAAGGTGGTATACGATATGAATTGGTTCATCAGTAGACAGGAAAATAAATGGACTATTTAGCAAAGGGTCATAGGAAATCTGGTTACCTAAATATGAAAAATAATACAGGAATAATTCCTAAAGTGCTGGGGATCGCAAATTCATAATGGCTAATTTTGCATACTTCCCTAAGAGATAACAGAGGTGGGGATTATCAGTATCACCTTTTTGAGATTTCCCATTAACTCTTTAAGGATGGGCCATCCTTTCCCACCCACTAAAACTAAACTAAACCCACTAAGATTAAAAAACAGTCCAGGGCAAGATCCTTCTTAGCATGGGATCATCTCCGCCCTCTTGAGTCATCCCAGAATTACAAGCTGCCCACTGAGTCATCTACCTCTGAGTCTTCCACCGATTTTGAATCTTCTGCTAGCTCTTCCTATCATTGTATATATAAATAGTGATTGGTTTGAAGTGTCTATGTCTCTGCCCATCCTGAGGCATTGACTTCCTAGCCTCTCTACATGCATTACTAAATTTGTCTCTCTTTCTTATTTCATCCTTTTACCATACCCCTCATACAGACAGCTGGGGATCTTGGCTAGGTCTCTGATTCTAAAGTATTAATTATGAAAATAAAAACTTCCAAAAAGTTAGAGGAAAATAACAGGAAAGATGTGTATGACATCAGGATGGAAGCTGATGTGTTTAAGTAGGCAGAAAATATACCAAACATAAGAAAAATCTTACAATATTAAACTACCTTGAAACCATTGTATAAAAAAGATATCATAGAAAAGGGAAAGAGAGACCGTGCATTGAAAAAGGAATTTTCTGCACACATATTCCATAAAGGATTAACTATCAAAATGCAGAGACATCCTGCACACTGAGAAGAAAAGCACCAAAAATGCAACAGGAAATAAGGGGAAATAGACATAAAAAGGTCAGTCATGGAGAAGAAATTGGGATAACAAATGAGGAAAAATTTTAAAAGCTGTTTAAATTAAACATAAAATTTAATTCAATATCTTATATCTTGGAATACTTGAAGTATAAAAGTTTGATAATTTCAAATGGTGGAAAGAAATTAGTACTGGCATTTGGCAAACAATTTGTCTATATCTAGGGAAAGCTGAACGTCATCCACCTTCAACATAGCAATTCTGCTTCCCTATCAGCCCCTGGAGAGACCCCTGCACATGGACTCAAGAACACATGCACAGAGATGTGTGTTGTCACACAGGAAACTTAGAAATGTTCTACGCATGGAGGAATAGATAGACAAACTGTGCTGCCTTCTTATTCATGGATTCTGCTCAACAGATTTTAGAATGAATTCACACAGATAAAGTGGGCAAAATAATGTGATACAAAATGGCTAGAAAATACATATACAGCACAACACAATACATAGAAAATTTAACATTGCATAGTACACTTGTAAGTAACATAAGTGATGCAATAGTAGTTATCTCTGGGGTGAGATTCAGCCAAATAAAATTTTAGGTAGAAATGAAGA